GGGGGGGGCTCTCAGATTGTCCATGTAAATGGGGGCGTACCGGCCATGCCGTTGACAGCAAAAAGACCCCCACCCCCCATGTCTTGACACACTTGACGTCTCTGCCCCGAGCTCAACTACCAAACATAACCTCTTTGACCCACGGCTCACTGAGCGCGTGTTTGGAGATCGCCACTGGTAGGTCCTCTTTCTTCTTTGCTTTCGCTCTGTTGTTTCTGTCTGTCTTACTTTTTCCGAGCACTTAATGAGTAATGACCATAATTGTGCCGATGTGCTTCTCTTTACTTCAACTCAAACTGATCTCACTGTCTCCTCGGCCACCGGATGTGTTTTCCCTTCTACAAAACCAGTGTCCTTTTCCTATTGACCACAGTACTCTCTGGGCGTTGCTTCAACCCTGAGGTGTTTACGGGAGGTGAGTGCGTGTGCTCCCTCCACAACATTATGTGTCAGCGCCAATCATAACTAGACGTAACACTAGACGTAAGTCACACTGGTTTACTCCGAGCTACGAACGAGCTATTTATTACCACTTTGGGCAAAGGGTAGTTATAACTTTTAAACGTGCAGTGGGAACGATAGTGTCAAGATTTTTAAACAGTAAATTTAACGTGTAAATATACAAACAGAAGGCAAAGAAGCAGAGATGACGATACTACAAATGTATTATCAATTTGGTTTCAAATTTGGCCGTCTTCATCTTGTCTTTCATGGCCAGAGGCCGATGCCATGACCTGATTATTGAGCTGTAAAAAAGCGAGGGAAAAAACTCCACCAGAACAAACCAAGCAATAACAGTAGCCATGAGATTATTAGGAGTTAATCCCCCACACCTTTTTGAGGTAAACTCTACCCATCTAATAGTTAGCTTACATAATCAGTAGCCTACTTGTGACTGCGTATGAGAATGGCCTGAAAGGGATGGCAGTGAAACATTTTCGAGTATAATTGTTCGCACTGCTCATTGGTGATTTAATTTCATAAACATCTATTTGAATTTATAAGGCCTATGTCTATGGATGAATTTAATGCAACGATGTTCCCAAATTGAGGAAGGGAAGCAGTGGTTATTTTTTATTATGTAGATGCTTTGCTTCCTGGGATTGATGTAAAGCATCACTCAACTTCAGAAGCCTGTTTTCTCATTTTCATATTTCTGCAAGTTGCAGTATTGAAGTTTTCATATCTTCGTCAAATTTTGCCGGATCAACTTACCTCTTTCTTTATTTACCTGTAGGGAAATATAGTTTTTGACAATAATATTAACTCAGTTTGTAAAAATTCCAACTAGTGTGTTGAGTTTAATTGGCACGGACACATATTTTATTGCACTGTTTTTAGTTCCAGAGGATGAAATACATTATGTGTCTCTATTTAATGCACAACATAACTTCTACACACCCCTTCCCCCAACCCGATATCTCTGTCTTCTCAGAGACTGCCTCTTTTGACTTTTAGTAGTGGAATCTGTGGTATAGTGGTTAGACCCTTTGCCATCAATGCAGGAGACATGAGTTCAATTCCTGTGTTGTTGGGAGAGTTTTTATTTCAGTTTTTTTTCTGCTGGGATGCTGTATATCCCTCTCAACCTGGGTTAGCTCTGGCAGGCAGGGTCGAAGTCACCTGCCTCTTAAATGATCTGAATAATAATTGTGTTAAGTGGATGGACGTTTAAAATAGTAGTGACTGTTTAAAAAAAATAATTTTTTTTAGAGGGGGGGGGGGTTGTTCTAGTCTCCTGTTTGTTGTCCTTACTCTCCAGACTGCACTCGCACATATTTTCATTCCCACTTATTTCTCTGGTACCTCTCCAGCACACCCTCCACTCCTCCTCCACCATTCTTTTTGATGGAGTTAGTTTGCCTGGTTTAAATGAGCTGTGGGGCATGTTGCCTGCCCCTTCTGTTTCTTTTCATTGTAGTCGAAATGGGAGCTGTTGTTGTTGTTGTTGTTTTTGTTGCTGTTGTTGTTGATTGTTGTTGTTGCGGTTCTTGTTGATTGTGTGTATGGGTGGTTGGAGGGTGTCACTCGTAGGTCTTAACTTGTTTTTTTTTCCCTCTGCTGCTTCCATTCATCTGTTTTGCTTCTTCCTGCACTATGTGACCATTGTTGTTCGATGTTCTTCTCTTTACTCTAAAACTTGTTGTTGTTGTTGTTGTTATTGTTGTTGTTGTTCTGTGGCTCTTGGTGACACTCTATGTTCTCATCCACATGACTCTTTCACTCACTCTCTCACCTCACCCC